AAGGAAATCAACTTTTGATTACTTTAGTTAAACAGCTTCAGCACTTACATTAGCATGTGCATGTTGTCATCTTTTTCTCCTCTTCATCTGCCTCCTGCTTTACTACTACATCTCCACCCTCATTTTTACCTCATCCTATTCCACCTTGACGTAGGCCTCATCTCCTGAATCAAAGTCAGAGCTCTAACACAAGATGTGCATAAATGGCTAAACAGCAGCAACAGCTGGTTATAAGCTAACATCCCAGCTAATGTAAGGGTTAGTGTCAGATAAACAATTTGATTACATTCTCACATCATATAGTAATTTATTCCTACGATGTCCAACAATATTAGATCCACATCTAAGAAAGTTTCACTAACAGTGGTAAAAACAGCATTCTTACCAACAGAAAAGCTCAGGATATCCTCAAAATTGTCCTCATTATAGCTTTTATCAGACAGAAGTGAACTTCACTGGCTCATCGACTCCTATCGGACTCCTTTCTCAAAGTTTTACAGCCAGAGCAAATACACGTGGACACACACTGACAGCTGAGGTAAACGGCAGACTGATAACCTACACTCACTACTCACTGCATGTGAACAGTGGCCAGAATTTGAGGTGGTCATCAAAATGTAAAATACCACCAAATGTTTAACTGACACAAATCCATTTTATAATCCTGATTTATTGCTAATTGTTATTGTTAAAATACAGTATATACAAAAATGATTTTTATATACAAAAAGTAGAAACGCTGTTGTGGGTGTAGTCTAAATTTAATGTTTTTGATCTCTCGACTGACTAAAATGTTTGTTCTACAGTAGTTAGGTTCATAAACTTAAATTGAAAGGGGTACTAAATTCACTAACATTGAGCAGTGAGATTTTACACGATGTAACTTTAACTAACCTAAAGCCTGCAGTGTGGGCCTTTTACACATACACTGACATCTGTTACATTCATATCCTTCCTGATTGTTTTCGGATGATAGCAGCCCAGGTAAACCCGTTAGAGATGGCTTACCAGAGCCAATAAGGTGAACAACCAGTGCGGAGAAAGCCATAGCATCTTGTGGAGCCTTTGGTGGATTAACCTAATTTGGAAACGTTACCTGTCTTTAATCTATCCTAAAGAAGTCAGAACTACAGTCATGGTTTTAGTTGCTTAAACATGTTTTTACAGTTGACCCCTAGGCTTTTTTTTCCAACCCTTGCTCTCCCACTTGAATGTTGAAAGTAGGTAAAGTTGTGCCAAAACCCCTGTGATGTTTAAGCTAAACTGGACATCATGTTAAACCTAAACTAATCTAACCTAACAACCTCATTGTCTCCATCCTAGATTCTAGTGATCTGTGATGATGTGTGTGTTAGACATAGACTATAGTGGCAGACAGGGGCCCCTCATGTGTGCACCTCCCCTAGAGTGAGTGCATTGTGTGGGCCTGGGAAAGCGTGGCTTTAACCTCCTCACACACAAACTGACCCCAACACACGCACAGTGCTCAGCTTAACTTAAACATGAGAGAAAATGATCAATTCTATTGCCACCATCACTCAAAAAGAAGGAAATTCACAGATACTGAGGTAAAACAAACTTAAACTCAACTGAAAGACAGAAAGATAATAAGGAGTTGTATCAGCGGCAAGAGCCAAAGGCTGACAAATGAGGAAAGAAATGAGAGAAAAACACAAATGCATGGTTTTGTTGTTTTTATAAAATTAAGGAAATTATTGATTAAAACCAAACATATAAATGTATTCATACCTGGATAAGTTATAAAGATAGGCGTCTGACATGATGGGTTAGAGGTGTTTCTCTGTAAAGGAAAGTACTTGTAGACTAGCCAAAAATAAGCTTGTGTTTCCCAAATCATAAACTGAAGTTTATGATTTTGTAACGTTATGTCGACTTAAATTGTTGGATGAGCAGGAAGCAGACTGAGAACCTCTTGTTATAGAGGTCCAAGGCAATGCATGCTTCTGCACCACACAGTGTGTGTGAGACAGCCCTTATAGATACCTAACATAGATACTTACTCTCTAACCCTGATATTTGTTATTTTTCGCAATCTTGCAATTATTTCTCAATTTGTTGAAAGTTATCAGTTAAAAGATAATTCATTCTTAAGATATAATAAATCCAAATGTATGGTTGCACGAGGAAACAATGAGCACCTCCAGACAAAACATGAGGTCTCAAGATGTCTAAAATATCTTCACTCTCATTGGTTCACAGAGCAGCAGCTGCATCAGAGCACGATAACCTCTTTCCATTGTTTGTAACAATGCATATGCTTCATGTCACTCAATATCAGCTCTATATGTGTGTCAGACGGGGGCATTAGAGGGAGGGGGAAGGGTCTGAGGCTTTTTCCCCCTAAAAATTATGACAGTTTTTAAAGATTTTTAAATACATGCATTTAAAAACACAAAAATAAAGAATCGTGAAGTCTCATCTCAGCAGGAAGACCAGTGGTTTGGTTATTGTAAAGGAACCAAAGCCGAGTGCTGTTACATCATGGAGTGAACAAAAATTCAAGCTTAGCTGAGAGAATTCCCTCTGAAAACTGACAAACTGACAAAAAACCTCTGAAAAAACCCCCTCTCAGTTCGTCTTATAATCGGAAGGTTGCCGGTTCGAGCCCCAGCTCCGACAGTCTCGGTCGGTGCAAGTGTCCTTGGGCAAGACACTTCACCTGTTGCCTACTGGTGGTGGTCAGAGGGCCCGGTGACAGAGTCTGGCAGCCTCACCTCTGTCAGTGTGCCCCAGGGCAGCTGTGGCTACAATGTAGCTTGCCATCACCAGTGTGTGAACACGTGTGTGGATGACTGAATGTAGTGTAAAGTGCTTTGGGGTCCATAGGGACTAAGTAAAGCACTATACAAATACAGGCCATTTACCATTAAAGAAAGCTGGATTTTGCAGGATCATTTGTGGTGGAAAGGTTTTCCACCTAAACGATTAGTTTTATTGTTGTGCTGATTTCATTTCAGTTTTGCTCCTTTTTCCATGCTTTTAAAGTACTTCTCATTTTACAGTCAAACATGTTATTAGGTACATGTAACTAGTACTGGGTTGGAGCCACTTTTGCCTAAATTCTTCAATGCGAAGATTCAATAGGGTGCTGGAAACGTTCCTCAGAGGTTTTGGTCTATACTGACATGATAGCATCAAAGAGTTGCTGGAGATTTATTAGCTGCATGTCCACAATACAAGTCTCCCATTCCAACACATCCCTGAGGTCCATCCATTTTCTTCCACTTATCCAATTAAGGGTTAGGGGAGGGGGTGTGGGGTGTGGGGTGGGTGAAGTCTATCCTAGCTAGAATACAACAAGAGGCAGGGTACACCCTGGACAGGTCACCAATCTGACACAGGTCTAACATAGACAGACAGACAGACAGCCATTAACACTCACATCACATCACCAGTTAACCTAACCCCACTAACTGAATGTCTTTGAAGGAAGCTGGAGTCCCCGGAGAGAACCCATGCAAACACGGAAGAACATGCAAGCTCCACACAGAAAGGCCCCGGCCAGATGGCGGTAACTCTGGAGGCCATTTGAGTACAGTGAATTCATTGTCATGTTCAAGAAACCAGCTTGATGATCTGAGCTTTGTGACATGGAAGTTGCCATCAGAACATAGCTACATGTGGTCGCCTTGATCGTGGCTACTTGCTTAAATGCATTGAGTTGCTGCCATGTGATTAACTGATTAGCCGTTTGTGTTAATGGGCAGTTGAGCAGGTGTACCTAACAGAGCGAGAAGTGACGCTGTAAAATGACACAAATGCATCTTTATTCCCTGTGATTACACACATTCTCGAACAAAACCAAAATGTTTTAGTGTTCGGGCTCTCCTATCCCTGCTCTTTGCTAACAGTCTATATATAATAAATAAATGTCAATTATGGTGCTTTTGTGAATATTTAAAAACCAAAAAAATGAAAATCGAACAAAAAAAATCTTGAGGTCTACTTAAACTCTTGTCTACTTTTATGCTTTCAAGGCTTCTTGCTCTAGGTAAAAGCAAGGGAAAACTGAAAAGAGCAACTTTTTAAAATGAACATTTTAGAAATATTTTGATTTGGTTTTAAAAGATAAATCAATAAAATAAAAAATATTAAAAAAAGATGATCACACAAAAAAAGCCCTATGCAGTGTTACCTATTACCACGTGGTGGCAGTATTGCGCCATATGTGTAAATGGAAACTTACTGTGATCTCTCTTTCTATGTGTACAGTTAGGTTTTTGAGCTTTATACATTGAAAACGTAAAACACGATCTCCCACTATGTGTGGACAAAAGTCTGGTCAGCTCTTACAGGAAAACACACCGAGTCCCACTCTAAGTAACAAATGCTGGGAATACTGGGCAATGTGTAACTATGAGTCATAAAACAAATCTTTGAATCACTGTGAGCCATTTCTGAAGTACTATCATGCCAGTGCAGCAATGACAGTATATGATTTTTAATGTATGAATGTTTTTCTGTGATTAATTTTAAGAGTAAATGCAACAAACCACCACTTTCTAAAGCTGAATCTAGATCCAACTCCCTCAGAAAGATACATGGACAGCTTCAAGGATTTTTAAAAAAATGTCCTTTTATCCTTTATACTAACTTTCTTATTTTATTTAGTTATTTTTCAACTTGTTCTCTTACCAGAGAGTTAGAGTGTGTGTGTGTGTGTGTGTGTGTGTGTAAAACCACTGAACAAAAACACCAACATATAAATCATGTTCTTGGGAAGAAAAGTTTTTCTTTTTAATTAAAAGTCACATACAAAAGGAATATTCCACATTAGGTTGCTATAAAACGTTCATTTGTACATCTTATTATACAGATCAGCACAGCTCTGTGGTAAATGACACTTTAAACCTTTACTCTAATAAATGCATATGAATTCAATAAAAATGTTCACGCATCTGTGTTAAACAAAATTCAACAGATGTTGCACACATACAGGTCAAAACATCTGAAGCTTCACAATAGTTTATAAAAAGACACCTGTGTTATTCTATTTGGATGCATAGCTTTAAGTACAGTTCTTACAAGGCTTTTTTAAACATTTTTTAAAATTCATTTTCCAAAAGAAAGGGGGGGAAACCACTGAATTGAAAACGTCTTATCTGTAGAATCTGTCTACGCAGTACAAATCTCCGAGCCTAGCAGGCAAATATACTGGCTTTCGAATTAAAAAAAATTATTCTGACTGTATCTGGAAGAAAACCATGACTACGTAAGTGCAAAACCTTTAAAATATCAGGAAATGTTTATCTATGTTGCCATTTTTGCTGGCTGAGGATTGAGTTACGCCGAGTTCTGTGATTGTACTTTACTTGCTCAGACTTCCTCCACAGGTTTTCTCACTCTCTCTATTTAAAAACTACATTCATCAGGCGCTGTAATGACAATATACTTAGCCAAGAGGTAGGCTGGACAACAACCATCAGACACGACACTGATCTGCAGCCAGAACCAATAAACATTTGGCTGCTTTAAAAGTTGAAGAAGGAAAAGCTGGTGTCCTGTTGTGCACACAAGAGAAGTCTAACCTCTCCTGTTCTGGTCCTCATTTATCAGGGAAATCATCTAAGAAATTTACCGTCAAAGGATGGCAACAAAAAAACATCAGGTAGCTTCAAAAGGAACAGAACGAAATGTTTGTGCTCCAAATCAAACAGCCCATTTTACAGATATGGAATATGAGAAGATTATTAAGCAGCCACTAAATAAAAAACAGGGAATCAGTGCTGGATTTGAGAGAGTTTAGGTCAGGTTTGCAAGAACAGAAAGTATCAGTGTTACTCACTTTGAGCAGTGCTCATTGGCTCAAGTTTGGTCACTTTGTAATGGTTATATTCAAAACAGCGCTGATTTATTAGCTGCAGAGCATTCCATGCACACGCACTCGATTTTCTGCTCCAACATGTATAAAGTTTTAATAGAAACTGGTAGAAGCTTGTTCTGCATTCACACCTACTTATTAGTATTTTAGAGGCTGCAGATACTTTAAACTGGAAGTTTATGAGCCCCACTCTTAATTTTTCCTAACAAGTAAGCAGTTTAACAGTGGCCATGTGACATCAATAAAGTTATATACTGTTAAATAAAATTTAAACAACAACTCAGTACAGACGTCTTGAGTCACCTTCTTTATATTTTGCTTCCAAGCACGGTGGTGCTGAGAAATACTTCTACAAAGTTTTCCAAAGGTCTTCCAGAGTTTTTCTTTGGGCACTGGCTGTTTTTTCCATTCATTTTCAGTTCAATCCTTGTACCCGACTACTTTCAGGGGAAGGCTTTTTTGTTTGTTTGGCCATATATATGGATGATTGAAGCATAAAAGGCACCAAACTCGAGGGATGAAGCAGTGTTGTGTTCATAAAACCATCAGACCTGTTTCCATTGAGACAACTAACAGACAACTTAGCAAAGAACCAGTTCTAGTTACAATTCATCTTACAGCCATCGATAAAGCACGGTGGAGGCTGTGTCATTGTTTGGGGCTGCCATTTAGCCAGTGTAGTAGGAGTCATAGCCTGGCCTTCCTAGAGCCGGAACTTTAACATTACTGAACGATCATTCTGACAGAGCAGCCAACGTCAAACGAATATATGGAATAACTGGAATGAAGAATAAAGGTGGTCTTATTGAATATTGACTTTCAAACAGTGCTTATCTATTTCCAAGCAAAATATAAAGAAAAGATAGGTGACTCAAGACTTACTTGCACATTACTGTATTTTAGTAGGATTACTTTATAAGAGAAAGACTTGCATATAGTGAATATCCTGCATTTTCATAAAAGGAAACAAAGTAAGTAATTTTTGCCTTTTTGTTAAAAGCCATCTTCACATGTATCACAATTTTCACTTCCAGCTCACAGCAATGTCTGAGCGTGACTTAGTTTCAGTACCTCTGGCTGCCATGTTGATTTCCAAATGGATTCACAGTTTCAGTGTTTATATTTGACAGTGGTTCAGCCTTCGGAAACACTGGTCTAACAGGGTGCTCCCTGTTTTTTTTTTCTTTTTTAGAAAAAGCAAAAATATTAACAGTGCACGACCAACTGCAAGTGAAAAGGAGCTTCTGGGGAGTTTCTACACGGGGGTTACAAAAATAATGTCATCTGAAAACATACTAGCAAAGCTCATTTTACACGGTGGAGACGCTGTAGGCTGCAAAGTGTTTCACTTGGTGAACTCACAAGGCTTTTAATTGTTAACTTTCTACGTCTTGAAGATGGAGAACTGACTCGCCTGCTAGTGCAACAAGAACGGCAAAGAGAAATGCACGCTGGTTACTGGAGGGTTTCTTGAGGTCAGGTTAATCTGTGGAAACGCAGAAGGTAGAGAAGCAAAAAAGATATTTCTTAGGAAAATAAAAGCGTAGAAGAAAAGCTTGACCTTGGTAGTGCTTCTGTATGAAATTGAGTTTTTGTTTACAGGTGTGGAGCTGTGCAGGAGGGTCAAAAAAAAAAAAAAAGCCATGCCAAAGATAAAAAGATTCAAATAGTACTTTAAAATTCCCTGAAAGAAGAACTCGGAGCTGTCTTTGTTAGATTTCTACATCAAGTCCTTCTTACCAGACTATTTCTCTAAATACAAAGCTCCCCTCGTTCTGAACATTTCTGACATAATTTGATGTTATTTTCCTCCAGAAAAGAGAAACTTTTGACCTTGAAAGTCTGCATTTTCCATGGAACGAAAAACAGCAACCCACAAACTGCCCTGATAATTAAATAAACAGAGTACACCGCTTCTAAAAGGAAGAAGTACAAGCAAAATAAATAAAAGCTGAGTGATGTATTCCTGTGTTAAGCTCAAAGATGAACTGGTAACCTCGGTTTTGAAGAAACACGAAGATCACATAATGAACCTCGCGCCCTGTCTCAGCTTTTCTGTGGCGATTAATCTACACGGGGGGAACAGAGCTGCTGCGTTCCTGCCCCACCAGAGAGAGATTTTTTTGTTTCATATCAGGTAAGATATGATAATATTCAATCCCATTTGTGCCACAAACATACCGAGAATCAATTTAGAGATAAGACAATCTTTCTTTTTTGTTTTAGTGGTGCGTTTTGAAGAAACACCGTGGTGGAGCTTGCACTGAAATAAATGAATACACAAAAAACTCGAGAAGGTCAGTGAGAATGAAGGAAATGTCTGCCAATTTGCCTTTTACTTGAATTGTCTCCATTTTTTTCCAAAGTTAAAACATCAGAGTAATGCGATTACAGCTGTAAGTCTGCACTTACAGCTGCGATTTATGACTTTGGTGACATTTCTCAGTTTGGTTTACTCACTTTAAAGTTTCTCTGCCCAGATTTCCTGTTTGCTCCACATGACACAGTGACCACAGCATTACAGACAGTGGCTGGACCAGCGTCCTTAAGGGCTGGCAGCCAATCATGGCTGATAATTCTAAGTAACCAATCAAACTCTCCAAAGCCATACAAGTGTTTTCAGTCATTGGGGCAGACTGAACATCCTCCTTGTTGTTACCTTAGCTTTGTAGCGTATCTGCCTGACACAGCCAAATGTCTTTCTGTTCTTTTTTCAACTAAACCAGTCAATATTTAAAAGATGATACGTTACAACACAAATATTTTTTTTCATGCGCTGGTAATAACTTCAATATCAGTGAAGTAAATTTAGTTTATTAGATGTTCATGATACTTAAGTAAAGAACTTTGATGTTGTCTTAAGAGCTTAAAAATGAGTGAACTGAACTGAAAGAAGCCTCTTGGAAACGAGGTGAAACGTTTCCAAAAAGTCCAGGTTTCAAGCTCTTACACCGACACGATTTATGTTGATAACCGTTTGTTAAAATCTGTAAGAGTAAATACAAGTATGCAAACATATTTCTTTGGTCAGTTACTCTGATTTGTTTCTTTCCTTCTTGTACTTGCATGGCCCAACGTGTCAGGATTTCTGAAGGATTTACAGATGGCTTTTGCACATGTCATCCCAAAAACATGGTGATTTTTTTTTAAATCTGGCTGTTGATAAAAGTTTCTGATTTATGGAGTGCTAAAAAGACTCATGTGCCAACAAATTCAGAATCTGACTTTATCTATCCATTCAGATTCCTGTAAGATTGTGCAAATTGGCACATATTAAGATATAATGCCTCACTTGCATATTGAAACATTATATCCTTAATGTAAATAATAATCTGGGTAAATTTCATGTTGATCTATGAGTTTTTACCCTGTTTACCTGGACGACGCATGATATCTGTCATTTATCACCTGTTTCTACTTGTAAAACTCTCTTGAATAACTGCTGCTGCTGCTGAGGGCTCGTCCCTGTCAGACAACTCTAATAAGAATGCACAGTCCTCCCAGCTTTGCTTCTTCTGCTTCATTCATTGTGTTTCTGTTCTTAATTGCTTCTTTATGCCTCGTTATTTTTAATTAATGTGGCAAACTCATCTTGCTTCACTAAACTCTGACATGAACCATAATCTGACATTTAATTAGCCAAAAGAAAATATGAAAATATCACTTGTTTGGACCAGTTTGCTTAGAGACCACAAACTGTAAAGGTTTACAGCTGAAAATCAAGAAAAAGGGTGGATTTGTTCAGGACAAACAAATTCAAATTTGTATGTCTTTAGAACAGTGAGTATATTTATATATATTTCAACATCAGAAAATTAATATTAAAACACATATTTTAAACATATTCCCAGCCATACAAAACAATACCTGACCAGCCATCCTTGTTTTGTTTTTTTTCCAAATTTGACAAGATCACAGCACTGAGTCCCTTTCCACTGTGGCAAATGTTCTATGAGTGTGTACTTGTATTTGGGTAGCACCCTCTAATGGTGATGTGGCAGGGGGTCATGGCTGTGGCTCCTCTGTATGTACGCCATTGCATCCCTGTATGTGAGGGTCAGCTGTGGTCGGTCGTACATCTCACTGAGTGCCTGAAACTTTGGGCCCCATCGCGAGAGTCTGTCATAAACAAAACCTCCATCATCTTCCTCCTCTTCCCCGTCGTCCCGATCACCGTCGCCTGTGTTGATGTTTCTATGGGACACTGCGGACCCCAGTGAACTAAGGCTTCCTGCCGACGACCCGGAGCCTTCCACGCACCAGACGTGGTAGGCGTCTGGCGGGAAAGCCTCATTGTCATTGTCTGCCTCCCAAATGATTCGCGCCACGTAGCTTCTAAAGTCCACGTGGGAGCGTGAGCCAGGCGGGGCATCAGTGTAACTGCCTACGTCGCTTGTCTCCACGTCTCTGTTTACATGAGCAGTGTAATTAGCGTAGGTTGCATCGCTGGTATAGTTGGCG